GGGGGGGGGGTGTTTAATTGCCTAAAAATCTTATAATAAAGACTAAAAAATAGATGATGGGGGACAAATTATCTAAAAAATCATATAATAATTTTTTTAGTGGAGGGCAATTGCCCCCCGGGCTTTAGGTAGATTCGCCCCTGCACATGAGGACGGCTTCATGAATCCTTTTTCTCCATTATGTCATATTAAGAGTCAAATCTTTTTTCTCTTGGTAATCTTAACCTTCGTATCATTACATCGATGAGTCGAACGTACACTTCAAATTTACTATATATATTGGTACTTCTATGCCTAATCTTTTATTTGTTGAGAATATTCGAGCTATTAAGTCAAATTCTTACACACATCATTTATGCTTGCTTCGAACCCAAAATTTTTTATTTAGTAGCTAAAGCCCGGAATCAACCGTTCAAGATAAAATATATGAGCATGTGATATTTTCTCTCAATTTTTTTATTTAATAAAAAAGTATTTTTTATTTAAAAAAAAACATCACTTCTCTGCTTTCATCTATGACTAATTCTGAACCAAACTGTCAAATTGACGTTTCATAAGAAAAGTCACTCCCTTTCATATTAATTACTATTAATATATTTCCAGCACTCAGCGCGCGTCTAACAATTTTTTATTAAACTATATTCTTAACGCCCAATGAGGAAAGCAAACAAGACATCTCTTGATAATCACATTTAATATTTATTAATCTATAATTAATATTATTTAACAAATACTAAATAGTTAATATTTGTTAATTAACTTAACGTTAATGCTGATTATGGATGTTTGGAAGAGGAGATGGATCTCTAATTAAAAACATTCATTCATTTTTCTAATGAATATTGTGAGGTATTGGTCCAATTTTAGATCAGGTTGATCCGCATGCTATCACACTCATGTAAATTATTATATATAGGATGTATATGTTGTTTTGAGAGATTATTTTGTGCGAACACCAGACAGAGAGAACCGTCCGATTTTCTCTATGTCTATAGTAAAAACACAGTTATTGTAGCAGTAGACAGAGGGAAAAACAAACGATTCTCTCTATCCGCTGCACAAAATAAAAAGTCAGGTTGAAGCTCAAGAAGCTCTCAGGATTCCTCCTAAAATTTTAACATATATTTTTCCAATAAATATCCTTATCTTATATTAATAACCATGAAATTATAATGACATTTTTGGACATACCAATAAATATCAGAATAAAATATCATTTTATATAATAATCCACTAAAAAAAATGAAAATTATAATTTATCTGAAGCGTTCGACGCAGGCGACGAATGTGTTAAGCTCATGTGGCTATCTCCAGTTGAAGAAATGATCATTTTCCGATTGAATTCGAATCCAATCAGGTATTACCACAAACTAACAAGAATCTGGAGAAATAATTAAGCTTTAAAAAACATGGGTGGTTTTCTACTTGAAGACAAGACATGAGCACATGGTTCGGGTTTGCAACATTTCTCTTCACTCATTGGAGAATTTTCATTTTGATGAGAAATCAAAAGGGGTTTTTTCCTTCATAATTTCACATTTGGACTACCTTTTGTTCCATCGCTTGTCCAGCTCTCTCATCCCTTTCATCAAATGAATCATATCTTGTCCTCTTCCTATCAAAACTTGCATCGAAGGCCCCACTCATAAGAGACAACACTTGCTCCAATACCCACCTTCCCCACTTGTCTCTCTCTCCTTTCCCTCTTTCATTATTCATCTACTTAGTATATATATATAACGTTTATATAAATACTTGTAGAGTACTATATTTCATCTGGAAAGATTACCAGAATATATTCAAGCTAGGCCTATCAGTCTCTCAGCTCTCTTCCCTTTCTATTCCAAATATTGCAATATATAGCTCTTTTAGAATATTGCATGCCTCAAGCTAGCGAGAGAGAGAGAACTTTTCCCTACTGCTGCAGGTTGCGGCCTCAAGAGTGAATTTTTATTCTGTGCGCAGTCCGGAGCTTTCGGAGACCAATAAAAACACACCACGCAAGAACCGTCCGGCGTCCGCATCCATGCTTACAATCATGGCTAGTTTTATATATCCAAAATATTTTATGCCGATTTTATGATTTTTTTTTATTTTTCTTTCATTCTCCCTGAATATTCTATATGAAATACTAACTAGAGCTGCACAAATGTACTCCATAGACTTTCTCATATATTTTAAGGAAAAACGTTTATTTTCTTTCTGACAATTTGACGATGATGAAATGACCAGCAATGTCATGTTGTTGTTCAACCAAATGATCAGAATTAGGATACCCAACATCTGTTAAACAATTAGTTTTATAGATTTTCTCATGATCAGACACATCAATTGAATAACATGAGGAAACTCAAAGTTGAAATAAACAGCTGTGGATATAATATAATATCCTTAATTAGTTAAAAGTTTCTCCTTTTCTTCCGTTTACACCATCAATTGTCTTCACCGACGATGCGCAATTTTAAAATATATAATTTCTGTTCGACCCAAACCCAAAAGAACGCGTCGACAGTCTTATTATGGAATCATAATCTTATTTTATAACCAACTTTGCTAAATGATACTGTTTTTCTTTTTTTAATAAAAGAAGAAAGCGACCTTTGATTACCGACTAATCTTCTCTCTAATGAAAGATCATTAGCAAAAAATACTTTTTAATTTTTAATATTATTATGTGTTATAACTAATAAAACAGATCTAGCTAATTTCTAAAAATATGATATTATTGATAAAAATATGAACTAATCGGCTTTATCTCTCTCTCTCTCTCTCATGATGATTCTCCACCCTACCACACATTTTAAATAGTTTCTCCTACATGGTGCTCTTAACTAATCCAAACTGTTGTTCTCCACCAAAGAAATGCCTTCTCTCTCAAAAGAGCATTTTGATCTCTACTCTGCTTTTCATGTCCCTGAAACCCACGCTTGGTCTTCCTCCCATCTCCATGATCACCCCATCGCCGGTGACGGCGCCACCATCCCCGTCATCGACATATCCGACCCTGACGCGGCCTCCATGGTCGGCGGAGCCTGCCGCTCGTGGGGCGTCTTCTATGCCACCAGCCACGGGATCCCCGCCGACCTCCTCCATCAAGTAGAATCCCACGCTCGCCGCCTGTTCTCTCTTCCCCTCCACCGCAAGCTCCAGACAGCCCCTCGCGATGGCTCTCTCTCCGGCTATGGCCGACCCCCTATCTCCGCCTTCTTCCCCAAGCTCATGTGGTCCGAAGGCTTCACCCTCGCCGGTCATGACGACCACCTCGCCGTTACCTCCCAACTCAGCCCTTTTGATTCTCTTTCTTTCTGGTATGTAATATTCCATGTCTAATTGTATTACAAAATTTTTTTTTTTTTGCGATCAAAGCTTATCATTCGTTTTGATATGATGGTTTGAAGTGAGGTGATGGAAGCATATAGGAAAGAGATGAAGAAGCTGGCTGGAAGACTCTTTAGGCTTTTGATAATCTCATTGGGACTTGATGAGGAAGAGATGGGTCAAGTCGGGCCGCTAAAGGAGCTCTCACAAGCGGCTGACGCGATACAACTCAACTCATACCCGACCTGCCCGGAGCCCGAGCGGGCCATAGGCATGGCGGCTCACACAGACTCTGCTTTTCTCACCGTACTCCACCAGACTGACGGGGCCGGTGGGCTCCAGGTCCTTCGTGATCAAGATGAGTCCGAGTCGGCCCGATGGGTTGATGTTCTACCCCGACCCGACTGCCTCGTTGTCAACGTAGGCGATCTGCTCCACATACTCTCAAATGGACGGTTCAAAAGTGTACGGCACCGCGCGGTTGTTAACAGGGCCGATCATCGGATCTCAGCAGCTTACTTCATTGGCCCGCCCGCGCACATGAAGGTGGGCTCCATAACCAAACTGGTTGATATGAGAACAGGCCCGATGTACCGACCCGTGACGTGGCCCGAGTATTTAGGGATAAGGACGCGCCTTTTCGACAAGGCACTCGACTCGGTTAAATTCCAAGAGAAGAATTAGAAAAAGATTAACGATTTTACTTAAAATAAATTAATAAAAATAGATAATCCACTAACGGCTTTGGTTCATTATATATATATTTTTTCCATTTTTTCTCTATGTTTTTTTGTTTTAAGAAATATATATTTAATATGTTTGGAAGGAAAAACTTATCATCAAAAACTGAAAGTTGATAATAGCTAAATTATAGGTCTGTTTGGAACAGCATTGTAACTTTTTTTTTAGATCGTAATTATATTTCTGTTTGATTATTATGTTTTTGTTGTTATTTCATTCCTTTTCAAAAATCCCTATATTGAGAAGCTTGTTTTTACAATCAATGTTGTTAATGTATTGTGGTAGCTATAAGGATCTCTGTAAATTTTTATAAAGATAATTGTAAAATTATTGTAAAGAAATAATTTTCTTCAAAGATACCTTAAAAAAAGTAAATCCTATTACATAAATTTTTTGAAAGTACCATGAAAAATTAGTTGTTTGGTTTATAAAAAGAATATATTAAAAAAAATATTCATAACAATTTTTTAAAAAATTACATTCCCCCTATAATTTTTTTTTGGAACGGGATATCCACCCGCTGTCACCCTCAAAAGGGCACTTGAGAGCGTGACTAATCCTCGGCCGACCTAGAAGAGTTACCCACCCCAGAAACCTCCTAGCCCTCACTTGATTGGACCCCACTTAAGATGCAGCGCCCTCGCTGCCTCTTGAGTGGAATGGAGCATGGGTTGGGGGGTTTCCTATCGTACTCGCCCACCAACCAAACTAAGCAACAGTGGATTCCCCCAATAATTTCGTAACCATCTTTATAAAACATTGCAGTTATTCCAAACATATCCTAAAAGGGATAAATGATAATGATATTAGAATTTATAGATAATTATCATGCAATTAATAAAGTTAGTTTGAGATATAAATAACAAAATTGAGATGGACGGCTCACTCACAAACATTAAGGGTGAGTCCCCACGGGGCCAAAAACAAATGAAATGCCCATTAATTTTGTCAGCGTTTGAGAAACTATTAATGAAAGGAAAAAGGCTTCAACTGTGAGAAAAGAAGAAGACAAATATGGTCCCTCACTTGCTAAAGTAATGGGATTCCATTTTCATTAACAAAAGGACAGCCTATGAAAACATACAAACTGTATTTTTTATAAGACAAAGTTGACACAATGTGTTGGGTTTAGTTTAGGGTTTTGTTTCATTGTAGATGAGAAGACAAAAAACATGAAAAGCACAATAGAGTGGCTATGTTGTTGTAGATAATCATACAATTTAATAAGTTTGCTTGGAATACAAATAACTAAATTGAGATGAGGCTAACTCAATCACAAGCATGAATGGGCAATGGTCAATAAATTCTGACTAGGCTGGTCAGTTCGATCGGTTCAACTATCTCCCAATTTGTTTGGTATACTAATAAAATCACTCTAACACAAACAATTATAACCGATTATTATCATTATTATTATCAAATCATTATTTTTTACATTAAAATATTAAAATTTAATTTTCTCCCAATAAATGCCAAGTTCACCCCCTTTAGATAAAATTGAGATAAAGATCAAAATGTTCTCTTGAATCTTTATGAATGAAAAAATAATTATGATTATTTAAAAGTCTCATTTTAGTTCATTGAATTTTTAAATACAGATCTAAATAATCTCACAGAATGACTAATTTAATTTCTAGCTATTTAAGGAGTCAAATGATCAAAATAGTAGTTTTATAGAGTCATGCACTATTTTGATCTTTAAAAAAATTTGAGGACTAATTTGGCCATTTTCGCATTTAAATTATAAAATATAAACAAAAAATAACATTAACTTAGAAAACATTTAAATTTAAAATTATAAAAGATTTCAGGTTCAGCAACTAATCCAATATTTAGAAGCTTAATTAAGGATCAGTCCCCACCGTGTAATGGCAAATTAATTGCTCTTTTGTCTGCGTTTCTGCAATTATGAAGGAAAGAGAAAGGCTTAAACAGTGAAAAAGAAGAAGACAATTGGTCCTTCTCCTGCCATCAGAATAGGTTTCTATATTTCTTTGGCAAAAAGACAAGCCATAAAAGAATACAAATTGCATTGTTTATTAAACAGTTGACAACGTGTGTGTTTGGCTTAGGGGCTCTGCTTATTTCCAGTAGAGAAGACAAAAACATGAACAAGCACAATGGAGGAGCTGCCATGTTGCTGTAGCTTTGGCCATAATAGAACATATCACAATCAATACGCACACATCTACATATTATTTATGTATTGTATATTTGTATGTATATATAGTCTATCGCTAGCTCTTCCTATTACAATTGCAATTAAAACAACCCATTGGCATCTTTTGCGGGTCTAGAATGCAGTAGTATACTCTGGCAACATAAGGAGAGATTGTTACGTGCGGCGATCAGACATAAGGATTCGTTTGGTTTTATCTATACGAATAGTAAAAGTGCAGTTAAGTAGTTACTGTTCATCACTACGTTTTTACTGTTCAACACACTGTGCTTTCACCCATAGAAATGATGAATTTGAAATTGGATATAAAATTTTTCTCAATATTTCACCCATGCGTGGAGTTGCTAGATTTGGCAAAAGTGGAAAGCTTTTGGCCCATTTCATTGGACTGTTCGAGGCAATCGAGAAGTTAGCAAAGTTTATCATATTTGCAAGAATACATAATATTTTTCAAGTCTCCATTCTCCATCATTATCTGCACGAGAATTCTCATATCATTCAGTTTGAGTGATTATTGAATCAAGAAAATATGTGTTATAAAGAGATACGAGAGCGCATTTTAGAATATGAATTTCGATAGCTCCATCGACGATCCATTCCCTTTATAGGAGTATTTGGAAGAAGCAATCAAAATAGAAAGCCACTTGGGAGATTGAAGAATAGATTGATCATGAAGTATCCACCACTACTATTCAAAAACTAAGGTATAAATTTGAGGATTAAATTCTTTTATGGGAGATAGTATGTACATTTTATAACCTGGACTGATTCAGTCCACGAGTTTTAACCAGGCATGCAGTGCAAACTATTCTTTGTACGAGTTGAACTGAGCGCTGTGTTTGACAACACCACAACTCTAATCTCTCTAAAATTTTGAAAATTACTTCAACACAACAACGCTAAGAGTAGCATTGCAACACTGTGGGTGTAAAGACCATTTTTCCTCCCAGGTTCGTCCGGACGAAGTTGTATCTTCCGGGACGATCGGTACAGGTTGTGAAGAAAATTTCTGGCTGAATGGTTCGTCCTAGGACAAAACCTGGATCGTCTGGACGAAATTCGTCCAGAGCCCAAATTGTCCCTGAACGAAGTTGAGATCGTCCGGGACGATTCTTCTGGATATATATAGGAATGAGATCTTTTTGGAAAAAGAAAAGACGTCCAGGAGAGAGAAAAACGAAGAAAAAGAAGGAAAAGAGGATTTTTGGACGACTCCGGTCCGTTTTTGTCCGTTGCTGTATTTAGAGAAGTTGACCGACTTGAGGTAAGGCACATTCCCCCTTTCTCAATTTTCAGAAACATGGATTTTGATGACTTTTCTGTTCCGGATTTTGTTTCCGTTAGCGAATTTCGTGTGTTATTTTCTACTGCTTCAGGTTTTACCGCGTAACTTTTGGCATGTTTTTCAGATGATAATTGTGCACGTTTTGAGTATTTTCTGGAAGATTTTATCGGATATTTTGGATTCCGCGGTGTTTTAATTGAACTGCAAATTATCAGGATATTGAAAAATGTTATGTCAGTACAGTAAAAGTCTTATAAGGTTGTTGTGAATATTCTGTGGTAATTTGGTAAATTTCTGAATATGCGAATTTTGTGTAAATTCCTTATACTGCCGTTATGCCGCTGATTTTTCGTATGAATTCTGATTTTTCTGAATTGATACATTGAATGAATTGAAGTGTTTGTATGCTATCAGAAGGGAGTTATAAGGGGCCAGGATCCTTTGAGATTCTGTCTGTGTTAGGGAAATTAGAAATGAGCTCTAAAATCTGAAAATAAGTTATGTTCCGGAATTCCAAATATCTGTTCTGTTCTGGTGCTATAAGCACAAAGAGAGGCATAAGGGGCCAGAATCCGTTGAGATTCTATTAGTGTCTGGAAAGGGAGGCATAAGGGGCCAGAATCCGTTGAGATTCTGTCAGGGTCAGGGAATCTGATGTTTGATATCTGATAATCTGTTCTGTGACTTATCTGGTCTGTTTTATGAATTATCTGATATATGATTTCTGATTTATGTACGATTCTGTTTATTCCATACGATTTTGTCTGCTTTATGACATGAAAGCTTTATGATATCTGTTCTGAACTTTGATTTGAAATGACTTTAGTTTTCCGTATCCGATGTTTTATTTCTGATTGAGCTGTTATCTGTTCTGTCTGTTATATGATTTCCGGTACGATTGTTCGAATTCTGTACGGATACTTTTCTGATATATTTTCTGATTATTTTGATTGGTGATTGATGTCTTGCTGAGCTGTTAGCTCATCCTTATTTTCTGCGTGGTTTTCAGGTTTTGGGAAAGGGAATGAGGTCTTGGACTAGACGTTTTGAGTATGATCTGTGATTAGGTACTTGATACTTTTGATTTTTGTGCAGTCATGACTTTTCTGTTCTGTTCTTTCTATCTGAAGCCATGGATTGTATTGTGTATGACTATTTTGAGGAAAGAAAAGATAAATGAACCGTTCTGCATTTGGATGTTTATAGTAGCTCTATGTTGTTCTGTCTGTTTAATACTTGGAAGAAAGTCTGAAACAAATTCCAAAGCTAGATCCTAGATTTTCGAAAGTTCCGTCGCGACCCGATGCCAGCGGGATCCGTCCCGATCGGGTTGGGTCGTGACAGTGGGCTCCAAGAGAGAGTATTGCATCAAGCGTCATCGGGCTCAGTGGTGCTCGACCAAATTTTTATATTAAAAATATCATTTTCTACTTAACCATTTCATTCCACTTCCCTCAAGGAAGCCGACTAGAGAGAGAGAGAGAGAGAGAGAGAGAGAGAGAGAGAGAGAGAGAGAGAGAGAGAGGAGGATGATTTTTAGAGAGAGAGTAAAAATTGGACTACTTTGGTCCACTTTCAGTTGACGGTCCAATTCTAAAAGTTGTCCAGTTTAAGTAGGTTATTTTTTCTTATCTTGTTGTTTAAAAATATAAAAATTTTGAGAATTTATTTATTTATTTATAATTCTCTTAGCAAAAAGATGGAGATAATTTGATA